TTGTCATTTGTGTTTGCAGTGACTTGTCATTTTCAAAACTAACTGAAGGTGAGGTGAGATATATATGGGTTGTCTGTGATACGGTACGATGCGGATGCTAGTGGAGGGGGAAAGTATGTTGTGACTCACTTCGTCGTAGACCACAACCATGAATTGGCGGAACAACACTGTGTGATGTATCTGAGGTCACATCGCAGTTTAAACAGCGGTGACAAAGCTCAAGCAATGGCTATGCGCAATGTCGGTGTGAAGACTAGCCAAATCATGGACTATATGGTAAATCAGTCCGGGTCTTATGAGAATGTTGGTTTCATCCGTACGGATCTGCACAACCATATTCAAGCCGAACGTAGAGCAGAAGTTGAGGATGGTGATGCGCAGGGTGCGTTGGTTTACCTATGCGCAAAACTTGATGTTGATGCATGTTTTTTTTACAAGTATGATGTGTGTAACGATAACAAGTTACAAAATCTGTTTTGGGCAGATTCGAAATCGCGGGTCGACTACGCAAAGTTTGGTGATGTGTTGATATTTGACTCACCTTACAGAACCAATGCATACAAGAAACCTTTTGTCATGTTGGCTGGTGTGACTAGCCACTTTAGGACCACGATATTTGCATGTGTTTTGCTAGCTAATGAGACAATTGAAACATACACGTGGGTTTTGGAAACATTTATGGAGGCGATAGGCAATAAAGCACCTGTGTCCGTACTGACAGATGGGGATAAGTCGATGCGAGAGGCAATCAGAAGAGTATTTCCAGATGCAAGACATCGATTATGTAATTGGCATCTTGGGAAAAATGCTGTTTCAAATGTTCACATAAGTGGCTTTGCACATGCTTTCAAGCAGTGCATGGACATGGAAACGGATGAGACAAAGTTTGAGCATGGCTGGACGACAATGGTCGAAGAATTTGGACTTCAAACCAACAGTTGGGTGTTGGAGACATATGAGAAGCGTCATATGTGGGCTGAGGCATATATGCGTGGACATTTCTTTGCTGGGATGAAGAGCACTCAGCGCTCGGAGTGTATGAATGCTTATTTCAATCCCTTCCTCCAACACAAATTGAAGCTATATGAATTTGTTAGGCACTATGATCGGGCTCTTGCAAGGATAAGGTATAACGAGGCTGGAGATGATGCTGAAACAAATAACACTTTTCCGGTATTGATTACTCCATTGCGAGATATAGAGAGACATGGAGCTGAGCTATTCACCCGAAATATATTTACAATGTTCCGTGATGAAATCTTAGAAGAAGGGAAGTTGAATGTCAAGGACGTGTTCCCTTTGCCGGATGGTCAGAAATGCTACTATATTCATAAGTACAGAGTGAAGGACAGATCATAGATAGTAACACACAGTCCAATGGATGCTGCAATGAGATGTTCTTGCATGAAGTTTGAGTCGTTGGGGCTACCTTGCTGCCACATGATATGTGTTATGAAAGCTGAAAATTTAACGCAAATTCCCCCAACTTGTGTGCTGCATAGATGGACAAGGGCTGCAAGCAAGGATGGCCAGCAATGGCCTCAACCCTCAATTGATAGCACTACAACACAGACGGCCCGGTATGGGATATTGTGTTCTTCCTACAACGAAATGTGTTTCTATGCCTCGCAATCAACGGAAGGTTTCAAGGATGCTAGGGATGCATGTCTTCCAATGACGACCCGGATGAAGGAGTTATATGAGAGGAATTTGAACAGTGGGAATGGAGACAAAGGGAAACATTCATTCCCTCGACAATTTGGAGTAGAAGATCCTAATGTTATGAAGACAAAAGGGAACCCAGGACGGGCCTCGTCCAACTGTCAAAGACCAAGAAAATATGGGAATTGCAAATGCATTGGGCACACAAAGCGAACGTGTCCTAAGGTTCGGTTTAGCCGAACAGTGGTAACTAACTCAGATGCAGATACACCCCACATAACTAACCGTGAGTACAATGCGGAGTCATGTCAAGGAACTGCGGAGGGCACTGTCTGGTTGCAATCCCATTTTGAAGGCGGTGATGGCCATGGAGTTGT